ACTATATTTAGTTAGGATGCCACCTGGGCGCCTCCCTAGGGAGGTGTTCCAGGCACGTCCAGCTGGGAAGAGACCAAGGGGTAGACCTAGGACCAGGTGGAGGGATTATATCTCTTCGCTGGCCTGGGAGCGCCTTGGGATCCCCCAGTCAGAGCTGGTTGATGTTGCCAGGGAAAGGAAAGTTTGGGGCTCTCTGCTGGAACTGCTACCCCCGTGTCCCGACCACGGATAAGCGGGAGAAGATGGATGGATGGATATACTTTTGCTTGTGAATTTTTCCTCTTCTTCCACCTATGCCACTGACCTCTAATCCATTATTTAGATGCTTGCTGTCCTGTCTTCTCTAGGAATCGTGATGTTGGATAATCTACAGCACTTTATTTCTTCGTAAACAAATGGATATGCTTATATGTGAATAATATAAGTATGAAGGTGTCTTGCTATTAGAAGACAACACTAGTTTCCTTGATATCTGCTATGATAGTACCATGTAATTGTTTTGATGGCACATTGATCCAGAACCGTGTTATCCCTATTGCTCCGAAGGTCCATGTCTCCAAAAATGAACAACTTTCAGCACAGAAAAAGCACATACAGCTTATTATTATTATTATTATGCAGAAGAACAGCAAAGGCATTTCCCTCCCAACTCTGCCTCTGATTGGCTTCACAACTATTTAACAAATGTCATTGGTTGAAGTTCTAGTTGGAAAAGATTAAACATTTTGTTATTCGTAAACAAAGCACAAGCGTTCAGTTTGGCAAGACTAATTATGTGTCAAACACATTGCATGACGCTCAGCCTAAATCAGAAGATATAATGTGTAACATTTTATTAAGTGCATGCTCAAGGAAAACCCGTCTTACTGTCAGTGTGTTCAGTTAATTCCAGGAATATTTGCACATGAGATTTTGATATTTCCTATGAAAATGTGAACAATCTAATCTGACATTGGAATTACCCGGGATGTGTGCAAGTCTTCAAGATCTTTAGAATGTATGAAGGGTGTTCATACCTAATTACATCATCTGGCTCTGAACTAAAGGAATGGGAGGACAGATCATGTCTTTAGTCTTTGCTTTTGGTTGGGCAAACAGAGAAAAAAATAATCTCTTATAAGCTTCTGTACTTCCCTCTGTCTGACAGCTGACCCCTCAAAGGAAACAACAAACTGACAAAATAATGACCTCTCAGCACTTCCTATTTGTTTCTTAATTCCACTGGACAAACACGCAAATCAAACTAACCCCTTTCAGTCTAGGATGGGAAAACCTTAAAAAGTAGTGTTCTCCCATGTACTTCTCAATAAACGGAATGCTGCATTAATATATCTGCTATTATAAAAGGTGTGAAACATTTTTAGAAAGTAAAAAACATTTATACCTATATGTATACTCTGGGTCTATATATAAACAAGCAGTGCACATAGGACTGGGAAGTGAGAAGGTTGGCCAATGCTACCGCTCAGCTTGCCAAACTAAAAAAAGATATGGAAGAGCAAGAACATTTCCCTTCCTACTAAAATAAAACTGATGCACTCATTGATTACATCCATTGCACTCTACAGATGCCAAACCTGCTCACAAATATAAAAAAGAGAGTAGATGCCTTAGAAATATGTTGCTACAGGAAGATCAGAAACTACTCTGTAAAACAAGAGATACAGACACTGGCAGGGTTTCTCGAACCGCTGACAGAAACGTGAATGTTACCTTGGTTTGGACACACAACAATAACCAACAGGTCATTACCGGTGCACAGTGCAGTCGAGAGAAGAAGAGGTTCATGAAGGCCAAGGGGAGAATAGCTGAAGGACATCAAGAGGTGCACACATTAAAACCATCGACTGGACTGCTTTCTTCCACCCACGCAACATTTCTAGACTCCCTGTCTCAATCCTGCACTGAAGTCCTGGTTCACGCATTTCTTACATTCTGGATTGACTGGAATGCTGTCCTCTCAGGTCTTTGCAACACACTCCTCAACAAGCTTTAAACCCCACAGAACTCAACTGGCTTGATCATTACCTGCACCAAACCCTCTGACCACATCACATCCATTCCCATCACTGGTTCAATACCAGACTATGAAAACACCCTGCTCACATACAAAGCCCTCCAAAACTTGGCCTACACCTACAGGATCTGGCTGACCTCCTTCAGGCGTACACCCCCCCCATCCGGCCTGCTAACCATTCCCACCTCACACTTTGTAACCATGGGTACTAGGGCTTTAAGCTGCATTGCTCCCAAACTATAGAACTCCCTCCCCCCACACATCCGACAGTCTGACAACATCACTACATTGAGGGCCACCTCGAGCCTCCCCTCAATATATTTGTCTATGTTTATCTATTGTAAATATGTTTATGTTTACAAGTGATAATGTGTTTATGTATATATCTACTGTGGTATAAATGTATATCAACATCCAACCCATGACAACATATGAACTTTATGAGTCATTGCTTTGTAATCAGCTTCAATTTAACCCTTAATATATGCTTAGATTTTAGTTTGTCCCTTATTAATTCTTTCACTTTGTATTTCAGTTATTTTTAGTTTGTTATGTTTTACCTCTGCTATATTGTTGAGATCTCCATATTAGGTCGAATACTTAAAACGAAAGTTAGTTATAATCAAATATAATCAATTATATTCTTGAATAACCCACAATGAAAATGCTTCATATTTTAGGTTTTTCTATATTTACAGTATAAACAAAACACAACTGGTTTGTTAAATTGAGTGTAAGGCCTATAATGATTTATGGGTGTCACTGATAATAGGCAGTTTCTTCCCTCTCCTCTCACAGCAGTACACAGGGAGGGGGGCTCCGGACTTAAGGAGAAATACATTGAGGCCTCAAAAAGGTGGTTATGTCATAGCCATAGAATATGTCTGGTCATGTCCTTATTACACAAACATGGGAAGGTGTGTCTTATGCCATAGCCAATAGAATATGTCTGGTCATGTCCAGTCCTGTACATCAGAGGCCATGACCAGTTAACACAAATATGGATATGGAAGAGGTGTCTTTAGGTTTTTCTGTCCTGTTTTTGAGCATAAAGACACTGGCGGAGAGGGAGCAAACTAGAGAGAGAGAAATATCTCTCGAATTTCTTTGTTGAATGCGGAGTGAATTTAATACTGCCACCTGTGAGGAAATTCCTCCAAATTCATGCGGGAATAGGTGTGGAATTGATGTGAATTGATTTGGTGAATGAAAGTTTGAATGTGGTTTTTATCACCGACCTTTTATGAGGAGATGCCTCTAAATTCTGTCGGCAGATTTTAATATCACAACTGAATTGGGCTGTTGAAGTTACAATTTAGTGTAATAAATGTAAGACTGTGAATTAAGGTTTCCTATTAGTAATTGACCACAGCACGAAATATTCTGTATGATTGTCATGTTGTAACGAGAGAAGGTAAAACCCTGTTCAAGTGTGGACCAATTTTTCTTCAAATAAACTGATCCCACCTTTTGGATTGGGACAACTTAAAAGAAATCTGCGCTCTCCTCTCCTGCTTCAAAGGTAAGATTGCACCCTGCCACACTCACACTTAGGTAGGGCCACACCTCATTACTGATATCAAAATCCTTCGGGATCGCTTAAACAGATTTAAGAGAGTTGTCTGAATTGAAACAGCAGTTAATTGAACCTGGTTCTTCAGGGAGTTAATAGAAGTGAGATCTTGCTGACGTTGGTGGATCTGAGCCAAGCAGTAAACTTACATAGACTCAATAACTTCGGTTTGGTCAATTAGTAGGTCTGAGTAATTTCCCGGAATAAATGATCAGCCCTCACCAACTCTTACACCCTTTTAGAAGGGAAGTTATCGTCATTTGTTCAGGGAATGTCATTTTCGAGCCGGAGACCTGGAAAACAGGCTTGGGGCGAAACAGGTTATATAGGTTTTTGTGCAAGTTAATGGTCTGCAAAGGCTAAAATCCCTGTGTTCCCTCTCCCACACACTCTCTCCCCCCCCACTTGAAAAAAACCTCCATTTGACTCCTTTGTTAGCTTCAGTAAAACTTGTGCTTCTATAGGCTAACGTTCTTATACATTGTCCGTAAAAGGCTTAGGGGCGGGACATTTCAACCACATCTCTAAGCGCCTGACCAATCCCAAAAACGGCTAGCTAACCAATCAGAGCAGACTGGGCTCTGGTTTCAGACAGAGGGTGAAAAGGGGTGCTGCAGCAAAGACATGAGAACAATAAAGAGCTTTTTGAACATTAAAGCATGGAGACATGTTACAGTAGAGGCAGAAAATAGAAATAGGATCCTAAAAGTAAACAAACCTGCAAACCAACTTACTGTATTGATCAGCAGGCTGGCAGTATTGTCCATCAGGAGGAATGGCATTGATGCATCCACATGTGTTGCTTGTATTAGCATAACATTTCCCATAGGTGTCACACTTATCACACGGCCAAAGATAGTCCTTTTCACAGTGGCACTGAAACCCAGTGTTATCTTGGCTGCAAACTTTAAAGAGAATAACATATTTTCTCTTATGAAAAAGACAGAAGTTTCAAATAGATATTAAAAAAGGATTTAATGCATTTGTTCTTACCTGTGGTGATATTGGCATCTAATATGTTAACTGAGGAGCTGATCTGGACAGGAAAAGTTAAACTGTTCAGGACGTTTCTCAGCTGATCCGCATCGCTGGTATTCACCTCGGTAATAATCTGGTATTCATAAAATACTAAAGGTACTGTAGAAAAAGAGAGTCAAATTAGAGACAATTATTTGTAAGTAATTTGTTCCAAATCTAGGTCATGTCATGACATCTGGGCAAAATTGCTGAGTGAAGAAAAATAAATGCAATTATGGTCAAGAATAGGTATTCATGTTTCTCTCATCCTCATTCTTTTCATTTTGTCATATTGTTTGATATTTTCTGTTTGCTCATTTAGATTTGCTCATGTTTGTAATCCTATAGTAGGCCTATTAAATACGAGGTCACCTTGAGTGAGACAGAATTGAAAGGACACAAATACTTTTTTTAAATAACCAAATACAGATTACAGTGCCGAAAAAAATACCAGTAAATATGATATCCACATGTGTGATGTTACTTTAAGTGTAAAAGTGTATCACCTGTCTGTGGCACGCAGTATTGTCCATTGGTAGGAATACTGTTGATACACCCACACGTGTTGTCAATGATGTCATCACAGGCTCCATATGTATTACAGTTGCTTAATGACCACACATACTGTTCCTCACATCTGCACTGGAAGTTTGTACCATTTGGGTAACAAACTACATTAAAAAGAAAAACAATTAAACAGACATTATAATCAGTTATAATGCTTT